TTAATGGTATATCCTCCTTTTTGCTGCTATGTCCTCCCTTTTTAATGGCATGGCCCCCTATTTTTACTGGTAAATCCCTCCCTCCTTTTGCTGGTATGGCCCTCCATTTTTTCTGGTCTATGCTCCCCTTTTTACTGGTATGTTCTCCATTTTTACTGGTATATCCCTCCCTTTTTACTGATGTGTCTCTTCGTTTTTGCTGGTGTGTCTTCCCTTTTTACTGGTATGTTCTCTAGTTTCACTGGTATATCCCTACCTTTTTACTGGTATGTCTTCCCTTTTTACTGATGTGTCCTCCATTTATGTTGATATATCCCTACCTTTTTGCTGGTATGTCCCTCCTTTTTTTTTTTTTGCTGGCATGTCCTCCATTTTGGTCCAGGTATGCCCTCCATTTGCCTTGGCCTCAGGGGTGACCAGTCGTGTCCTCCTTTTCCCCAGGACCCGTCCTCCATTTCAGCCTCCTCTTTCTCTCCAGAAGGAATATTCCAAACGTTCTCCATTTATGAGCAGGACCAAGAAGCATGAATGTATCTTTATGTTGAATGTTTTTAGCTTTTATTTTAGGATGTCCTCCCCCACCCGGCATGGAATATCCTCCATTTTTTCTGGTATGTCCTCCATTTTTGCAGTGCTTTGGCCCCAGGGATGGCCAGAGCCATTCTCCTTTTGCCAGGACCAGTCCTCCATTTCAACCTCCTCTCTCTCCTGGAGGAATCTCCCTAACGTCTTTCATCCTGAGCATGAATTTATCTTTATGTTGATTTTGTAAAGCTTTATTTTGGAATGTCTTCCCTTTCTCCCCCTGCAATGCCTCCATTTTGTGGTGCCTTGGCACCGGGGTGACCAGAGGTCCTCTTTTCTCAGGACATGTTCTCCATCTCAACCTGTCTGTCCAGGAAGAATGTCCAAAAGGTCCTCCATGCTGACCAGGACCAAGAAGCACAAATTTATCTCTGTATATGAGTGCTTTTTAGCTTTTCTTTTGGAATGCCCTCCATTTTGCCATGCCTTGGCCTCAGGGGTGACTAGAGGACCTCCTTTTCCAGGACCTGCCCTCCATTCCAATCGGTCTGTCCAGGAGGAATGTCCAAAAGGTCCTCCGTTTTGAGCAGGACCAAGAGCATGAACTGA